CACAGTTGCAGAAGAGTGTTGCTCACCTGTCAGGGTTGTCATGCTAGGCTTTCCATCCTGAGGTCACCTCGGGTAGGAGTGGCAGTCTTGGAGCTGTGGCTTCTAAGGGAAACACGCGAGTATCGACCATGCCTGCATTCGCTGAGCCGCATGTTGCTGCACTCACGCAAGCACTGGACTGCACACAGTGTATATGGTGTACCTTGGTATCAGTGGTTCTTCTCAGGTCTGTACAGCCTCATTCAGCTCCGCGGTCACCGTGGCTGCCCCAGCTTGGCACAAGCACAGCCCTGCGGTCACCGCAATCGTCCGAGCCTCAACTGTGCCTTCGTGGATTTATGTGGCTGGTTCGGATGTCGTTGCTATGCTGCCTGCAGCTATCATGCGCCTTGCAGATGGGCTCTCAGTGATGACGCACCAGGGGCTTTGTCAGTACATGTAGCAACCTGGCCACTTCACCAGCACCACGGCTTTGTGTTGACGCTGCTGCTCACAACTAGGGCCTCTTTAGTTGGTGGCTACTGCAGTAGTCTTCCGAGGCATAGCATGGATCGAGCTGGCAAGCAGTCTGCAGGCCCCAAAACGAAGCAAACGAGGCAGAGAGCTCGTCCGCCGTCTCGGTTTCGGACTGGGTTGGTGAACCCTAGCTACTGGCGGCCCGATGACCCGGACACTGGCGGGCGATTGGAGCGTGAGGCCACAATCGCAGCAAATGGGGGGGAGAGCTCGCCTGTAGGCTTGCCGCTTCAGCGCTTTGCAGCAGCCACGACCGAGCAAGCTGTTGATGCTGATGCAGCTGCTGATGCCGATACAGGTACTGATACAGCTGTGGCTGCTGCTGTGCCGGGCACTGGCTCTGACTCCGGCTCTCGCCCTGATCGGACGTCTGGGCTACGAGAACTGCCTCCACAACCGCCTCCCCCAAAAAGGCTGCGGCATCAGTCACCGGCTCTCAAGGGGCACTTGGAGGACAGCCCAGAGCTAGTGCAGGATGTCAGGGATTATCACGGCTACACTGCTGTCCAGACCAAGCCCACTGGACACAGATCCTGGACATGGCACTGGACCCAGTATGCGGATTCTTCATCCTCGCCGGAACTGCTTCCTGCCACTGGAGAGCCGCGACAGCTGGTGGCTACTGCTAGCCGCCCTAGGGTGACTGCCATCGGGGCAACACCGGTCACACAGCAGGCAACAGCTGAAGTGATGGAGGCCTCTGCTTCGACTTCGGCTTCAGCTTCCGCTTCAGCTGCGGATCCAGCTGGCACTCCTGGCGCTATGCAGTCCCTGCCTTCAGTTCAGGATGTCTCGGACGATGAGTCCAGCAGCAGCAATGGCTCAATGAGCTCCCAACGGGAAGATGAGTCACGTCTGCAGTACTTAAGGCGATGTGCCGATTATATGCAGACGCAGAGCAGACGTTATGAACGCAGACAGCGACGCCAGCGAAAGCAAAAGCTTTTATTTCGGCCGTTGCCACCTTCATGCTTGTTTGGCAGCTTCTGTGTTATCATGCTCATTCTCTGGAGGCTCACCTCCGTGTATGTCTCAAGCGGCTGCCCCGGCTCCGCGCAACCAGCCGTTGGCCTTGTCAGTGGGATTGCTGTAGTCTGCGCTGCCAGGGTTCTCACTCAGGTCCTTTCTTTATGCAAATCAGGAGCTCTCGCTACCTCTGACCGAAGCCAGCCCGGTCCCAAGTCCGGGAGGAGTTGCTGCAGCGCACGCAAAGGTCTGTTAACCAGTATACTTTTTCTTGCTTGTGTCTGTAGGGCTTCTGGGGTGAGGGTTTGGGGCTCTGCTGTCCAGCAACCCCATGAAGCTGTACGACCAGTAATACAGCCGATCCCTCACAGAGCGAACCAACACGGAACGAGTCGCGGGACCATTTGTCCTATCACTTTTACTGCTAAGCGCTCCTTTAAGAGAGCACAGAATCGTGCCGCCCGTTATGGTTATACCAACTACAGAGGCGCCATCCACACCACTACCACCCTCAACTGTCAATACCGTCCCAACCCCGTCCCTAATGCAACCTCTCGCTCTTTCAGGTCTGGCTATGTTTCTGCCACACCCTCACTTCGCATCATGCTTTGGAATGCCGGGGGCCTCAACACCGCCAGGTTCGCTGAACTCCGTCAGTGGATTGCGGCTACTCCCGAGGCACCTGACATCTGTCTGATCACTGAAAGTCACTGGAGTTTCAGCTGTGAGTACACCCAGGACTCCCATCATGTGATTAACAGTGGTACTGGCTCCTGGCACGGTGGGGTCCTTGCCCTGGTCAGGAAATCCCTCTGTCGTGCCGACCAGATTCAAATTCAGGAGGCCGTTCCCGGCCGACTCCTGCACGTCAGACTTGCACATACCGCCACACCCGTAGATGTGTTGCTGGTTTACCAGCATGCCTGGAACGTCCGGGCGCAATGTCATGAAGAGCCAGGCGCGACCCCAGAGGCCACGCTGCTTGCTAAACGGTATGAGATCTGGACAGCTGTCGACAGGTGGATCACCACCATACCGTTCAGGCATCAGCTTCTGATCGCAGGCGATCTCAATTGTACACTCCGCCCGGAAGGTGCACTGGTGGGACGAGGTGTCACTACTGGCCAGCATGCTGCCAAAGACATTGGACGCATTCAACAGGTCTTGCGTGATCATGAGCTCGTGGCTGTGAATACTTGGAAGTCTGGCGGATCTAGAGCTGGCACCTTCAGGCAAAGCAATGGAACCCACACCCAGCTGGACTACTTCCTTATGCGCCGAAGCCAGGTCACTGCTGTCTCACGCAGCGTATGCATCAAGCCCGATCTGCCTTTTGTGCCAGTGAGCGGCATGTTTCATTTTCCGCTCTTCATCACCTTCCCGGCTGCGCGTCGGCACAACTGGCGCGAGCCCCAGCCAATCAAGGTGACTCTGCAGTCTGTCAAAACCGCCCTGGAGGCGGACCCCGCCCTTGCTGTTCAGTTCCAACAGGAGATGCAACGACTACAGGCTGAGGGCAACTGTGCCACAGTTAATCAGCAGCTACTGCAAGCTTGGTGTCAGATCCGGCCGAAGCCGCCCAAGCCGCAACATCGTGATAATGGTTTAGGCGGGACCAACACCACCATGCTCATCCGTGATCTTTGGGATAAGAGGCAAATGGTGCGGCATGCCGCCGACCAGGTGCGGACTTGTCTGGGTCCCCGAGGGTTGCACGGTGCTAGCTTTAGAGTATGTGCTGCCCTCTTTGCACAGTGGCGGACGCAGGTGGCTGTCACCTCTGCGAGCAAACATCTGCAGAAACACTGCAAACAGCAAAAACGCAAGCAAGTTGAACAACTTATCGATGAGGCCACTGCTGGTGGGCAGAGTTTGACTGGCTTACACCGCATTATGCGACGCATTGCTCCTAAAACGCCTCGGAGGCGCATGCAACTCCGTGGGCCGGATGGCGAGCTCCTCAGTACAAAAGGCCAACTGCAATTCATTCAGGGTCACTTTAAACGGGTCTATGCTGCCAACCCGTTGCCCAGTGCTTCGCAGCTAGCTTCAACAGAGGCCTGCGCCTCGCAACATCTTTCAGTCACGGATCAAATGAGGCAGGTGCTCCCCTTGAAAGTGCCAGCCCCGGCCTTAACAGCGCCCGGGCCTCCAGGATCTGTTCAGGTCTCTTCGGAGCTCGCTGCAGCCCCTGACAGACAGCCGGGGTACTGTGAGCCGCCCCCTTGGCCCCACTTGGCTGGACAAGACTATTTTGCCGGGTCTTGGCAAGACCCGGCAAAATACCTTTCGGCTGCCCAAAACCCGCCTGATGCTCATGATGCTGGGTGGCAGGTGCGTCGAAGTGAGGGCCCCAACCAGCTCGCCGAGACCAAATCGCCGCCTCGCAAGGATCACAGTGCAGGTCATGCTCCCGGCTGTACCACAGTTCGGCGATTTTCATTCAATGTCACGATTGATGAGATTGCTGATGCTATCTAGTAAGGCCCTGCCGCACACCTTTGCACCTGCCCCGCTCTGGCGCCTGCGCGTTTCTACGCTTGCGTGCTTGTGCGTCCGTCCGGCCCTCCTGCCTGGTCCGTCCGTTCTTCGCCCACGTTCGTTCGTGCACCCGAACTTATTCGGGCGAGGTTTACGTCACCCATTGGCATGACGTTTCGGTGGCCCTTCTCCCGAAGCCTAACAAGGCTCTCTCTGATCCAGCGTCCTACCGGCCCATCTCGCTTCTCCCGCCATATGCTAAGGTTCTCGCGCAACTCGTGGCGCAACGACTGCGCCCTATGGTGCTAGCTGCAGCGGAGTCCATGGAGCAATATGCCTACCTGCCTGCGCGGCAGGCGGCTGATGCTCTGGACAGAGCTTACGCTCACTGTGATGATGTTCGTGCTGCCCGCAAGGCCAGTGGCACCACGATTTGGACGCGCAAAGCCGGTGCTCGACCTGATACGTGCCGAGGTGGTCTGACCTTATCATTGGATTTGGAACGCACGTTTGATTCAGTACCATGGGCCACCCTGGAAGAGTGCCTCGTTGAGTTCGGTGTACCCGCTGACCTTATATCCTTGATACTTTTCCTTCATGAGCATGCAAGATACACTTTTACACTTAGCGGGGAAACTGTGAGTGTTGAGCCTCAGCAGGGTACCCGTCAGGGTTGTGGTATGTCTCCGACAATCTGGACGCTTTTCTCTCTCCACCTGGCGAAGAAACTGCAGCTCGTGGCACCGAGCTCACTCAGGACTTACTTCGCAGATGATCTTCTGCTGCAGTGGGAGTTCTTAGGTGAGTTAGCTTTTCGTTGCATTCCCCAGGAAATTGCTGCTGTTCTCACCTTACTCAGGCGTGAGGGCATGTGCATCAGTGTCAACAAAACTGTCATCCTCCGATCGTGGTGGGGCAGCCGCGTTCATGATGTCACCAGGCCCTTCCTGACAAAACTTCAGCACAAGCGCTACTTTCGTGTGGCCTTGGACTCGGGTGAGGAAATTCGTCTGCCTCTGGTAGACTCCCACAAGTACCTCGGCATGTTTCTCAGCTACAAAAACTACGAAGCCCTAAGCCTTAAGTACCGGGTGCAACAGTCGTGGGTCGCTTTCAACCGGCTCACCAAGGCCTTGAAAAACCGCTCTCTGCCAGTGCGTCTGCGTCTGCGCCTCTACAACAGCGTCTGCTTGGCTACTGCCACTTATGGTCTTACCAGCATAGGGCTCAGTGCTGAGGGTCAAGCCAAATTTCGAGCCACTGTTATACGGCAGCTCCGCATGGTTGTGGGTGACCACTCCCACGTCACAGGCCACACCAACGTCGAAGTCTTAGGTAAGTATGGTATTGATGACCCAATGCTGCAGGTTGATGAGCGCACTCGTCAGCGCGTTGACAAGGCCCGAACAAACCAGTTTCTTCCGTACTCTGATGCTGTTGCCAGACGCTGGTCCCGCCTAGTGGACGCTCCTCTCACACCTGAGCTGGAGCAGCCACCGATGGTCCTACGCCACACTGAGCAAGCACCAGTCACTTGTGAGATTTGCCATGCCACTTTTCAGAACCCTGCCATGCTCAAGCATCATCATACTACGGTTCATGCACCCCGAACTGTTGAGGAACAGCATAACCACAAGCAAGCCATGCGAACTAGATCTGATGATCACCTCAAATACTGTGTGGATGGCATGCCCACATGCCGCATGTGTGGTCACAAGTTCGCGGCTTGGCCGGCGTTCATGTCACATCACAATCGTAAATGCTGTCCGGTGTTGCATCAGGGTGCTGAGCAGCCCAAACACTTGCAGGAGCTCCCACCTGAGCCCCTCCCACTTGCTGAGGATGTGGCCCTTCTTGAACAAGCTGCTGCATTGCCACTCCCCCAGGTTGCGGAACTTGTGCATCGCAAAGGGCGTGCTCACTACTGCCCGATCTGCGGTATCTGGGTCACCCAGACGCGCTTTCTTGCTTCACACATGAATCAGCAACACCCACCGGTGAAGAAACACGTTGCCAGCCTGAAAGACCGGCTCAAGCTCGTCAAAGTTGGGTGGAGTACCTGCCCCTACTGTGCGACACAGCATGACAGGGGACTTGCCGGCTGCCCGGTCTTTCTGACAGCCGCAATCCTAAAGCATTGCCCACCTTACGCTGTTGATTCTGCCCAGGCTGTCGGAGCTGGAGGTGGGTCGCAAGGACATGGACCAGTGGAACGAGTTGATGGAGGGCCTTCCCAAGTCCTTCACGGAGTCAGCTCAGAAGCGAGAGCGAGACGAGCCCAGGGAGGAGGAGGAGCCCAGTCGAGCAACCAGGGCACCGAAGACCAACAAAGGAGACAAAGGGGGAAAAGGAAGGGGCAATCAGCCCAAAGTGAATCGCGACACCAACGAGAAGACCGAGAAGACCGAGGAGACGACCACCACCCCCAAGGATCTGAAGAGCATAGTCCGGATGCTGACCACAGTGGTCATCCGCCAGGAGGATCAACTGCAGCTCTTTCGGCAGGACAGTGCATACATCCTCTTCATGGAGACCTCCGCTCCCCTGGCCATCCTACCTCAGCTGTACGCTCTCGGTCAGACTTGGAGCGAGAAGAAAGCGAAGGACCCTGCCTCTCCGGGGCTGCCCTTGAGAGTCGTGCTTCTGGGATGCCTACTCAAGCAGATCGAGCTACGCATCGAGAAGCTGGGCACGGACGAGGAGCTTCGCAAAGTGGCCAAGGAAAGCAAGCTCCTCTCGGAGGCCGATTGCTTCAACTACTTGGAGTACGACGCCAAGGCGAAGAGCTACCAAGTCAAGGAGGGGAGGCTCGCCATTCCCAGAAAGGATGCGCTCCAGCTGGTACGGGAGCTTCAGGAGTTCATCCTGATCCCCAGAGTGGTTCACCGCTTCCACGCCTCCCGAAAGCACACGGCCGAAGTGTTACATTCTTTGAACACTTGCAGAAGATATGGCTTTATCGTTTGAAGAAAAACAATATGACAAAATGGCTCAGAGAACTGAGTCCAATTTTGATTTGTTGTTTTAGGGCTTTTCCTTTACATTGCCTTTTTATGAACCCTTTTCATATATGCTGTAAACAAGTTGGAGAACACATTCGTCCGTTGCAGCTTGACCTCTCGAAGGGGCAGGAAGCCCTTGAATCGGGCGAGAGTTTTATTTGAAATACCCACCCTCTCCACCCTAATTGATTCGTGGAAAGTGCAGAGATTGCATCAGTGTTGTGCTACCTCAGGAAGCTTTGGACCTCAGTTTGAGGACACTCAGGTATGCTTTATGCATAAGACCTGGTTCGGGTCTTGGCTCCCTGCTTCGCAGTTACTCGGTCTTGCTCGTCTTCGACTGGCAGGCCGTTCACTAAGGTTCAGTTTGTGAGCCGTGCACGGCTTGAGAGTGGCTAGTTCTCCTTTCGGAGGGGGACGAAAAGAGTCTTGTGTCTCACAGGACCGACAGTTCGAAGTTTTCTGCCGTGTGCGGTACTTGCTACCCCAACGTGTGAAAATAGCGTCGAGCTTTGAACTGCTTGCATGTGGCATGTGCGAGTGCAAGCATTTATCCCCGAAGGTTCAAACATGATAGACATCAAAACACAAAGCACGATCTTCGAACGATAAGACCGGTGCAGCTCTGCCGTTCATGCTCGAGATCTCGAACAGAGGCCAGGTGGCACAGAACGCCTACAGCCTGTTCGACAGGCTCACGCACAGCGGCGTCATGCGTCTAGTGGCAGGAAACTTCCGCCACGACAAAATCCAGCGATCCTCGCTGGTGCAAGCCCTGGCCAAGACTGTGCGCTGAAGGCGCTCTGTATCCTGAATCGATCAAACTTCTGTTACGCAAATTCGCTTGTAGTGCTTCTGCTTCACTTGCGACTCCTTTCTGCAGAGCCATTGTTTCCTAAAGCCTTAGACCAATTTCTCCTCAGACTGCTCCGCGATTCCAACAGGCAGCTGTGGGATGATTTTGCGTGGTGTGCTCTTGTCAGAGGCTGGCAGCGGCCAGCTCAGCAACATGATGTTGTAGAGTTCTGTTCTTTCCTTAGCACGAAGAACGTGTTCCAGCATCGCTGCTTTCAGGGACGATGGCAGGCCAGATCATCGGATGGAGGCCGTGTAACGGATACAGGCCACACTTGGCCCTTGTTTCTTGCTGAACTGCCCACCGAAGACTGTTCTGTGCAAACCATCCTGGACGATTGGCACTCGCAGGAGCATGTCCATGCCCTGAGCGAAGCGCCGCATTATCTGCTGATTCAGCTGAATCGCTTTGACGGGGAAGATGGCAGACGCAGCCAATGCCGAGTTCAAACCAGTAGCACCCTCTCTGTCCCTACTTACACTACGGATGCTGGACAAGCCATACAACTTCTGCAGTATCGGCTGGTGTCTCTCATCTTACACAAAGGGGTGTACAGTACTTCGGGGCATTACCAGGCTGCCACTGTTCATGGAGATCATTTGTGGCTTCATGATGACGGGTCAACACCTAAACTGCAGCATGATGTTGAAGACACGTTTTGCAACACCTACCTACTGTGTTACCAAGCACTACCTGTGGCAGTAGCAAGTTGAGGTCACCTCACTGCTAGCTTTGCGAGGTCACCTCGTTTAGCTTTGCCTTTTCACCCCACCACTGGCAGTCTGTAGTTGTACTGTACAGCGCGTGCCTGAGGTCACCTCGGTATGCTTCTTCACCTGTAGTTTTGCGCTCGCATTGCTGCCCGTTGGTCCTCTGGGACGGGCAATGCGATGCAGTAGATCGCACTCTTGAAGTGCCGCATGTGTCAATAGTGCATATGTGTTGGCGACACGCCTGGTGAGACTCTCTCTCGCTGCGTCCGAAAGAGTTTTACTTGACAAGCCCCCGGCTCAATTGCGTTTTCTAGGTTCTCTCGCATGCGCGCCATGGTTTTCCATGCATGGTTTCTTCACTGCCTTTTCGGTTTTTCTGGAGTGCTATATCCTGAGGTCACCTCAGCACGCTGCTTTTTCGAGCCAAGACGCCTTTGAGGCGCTACGCAAAGATTGTGAGCAGCAACAAATCCCAAACATTGGCAGGGCCTTCTTGAGCCCAGATGCTTGGTGTGTGCTCTGTGACACTGTGGCACGGTCCAGTGGCTACATCTTGGGGCCAGTGACAAACCGAGAGAAGTATATGTATGCCAGCGTCGTCTTTGGATTTATGCTGCAAGTGACATGTCTCGCAAAAGCCCCTGGCAGACCTTATGATGACTATGCTGTGCACTCGAACTGCATGCTTGAGGTTTACCTCGCTACTACAGACCACTGCGCGCTGCGTTTGGTGAGAACCTCTTACACAGTGCGAGCTTGCCCGGTCCCAAGTCCGGGAGAGATGTTTTCGGTACCACCTGTTTCTTCGGACCATTTTCGGGCTGTGCAGACAGGCGGCCGATGCAGTCTCTGGGGTGAGGGTTTGGGGCTCTGTCGACCTACATCCCCATGCAGTCGTACTACAAGTTTACTTCGACTACACCCTCTGACGAACTACACGGTTATATGTCGCGGGTTGCGGCGCCCGAACAGTCGCACTGCAGATGTTCCTACAACAGCGTTGCGCTCATTTTGCTTGTGTTGCTCTACAACAGTTGAGCTCCCGTTGCAGTGAGCTCCTTTTGCAGATTGCTCAGAGGGAGTCCTTTGCGCTACACAGCTGCAGTTAGTAAGAGCGTGAACGCTGCTTGGCTTTGGCGTTTCTGGGCTTCCTACGAAGCTGTGAGTGCTATGCAATTCATACCAGAGGCCACCTCGGTATGCCGTGCAGACAAGACTTGTGTGAGCAGCCTTCGCGGGCATACGTCTGCAGGTCTGCTTTTTCCACACTGGCTGAGGTCACCTCGCCGCAAAGTCAAGTCAAGTTTTGTTTGAGCATCTAGGTTTTCTTGTGGACCACTGCCTGCCTGGTCGTAGTTAGTAAGAGCGAGAAAGCTACTACCGCACAGTGGTCCTGTACAGTTGTTCAGTTGTTCAGTTGTGGGAACGGGCGCACTGCTGCCTACGGGGTCTCCGGACCGGGTAGTGCGTTGCAGTGCTCAGTTCTGCTCTCTCTGAAGAGCCGCGTGTCACACTACCTGTGTTTCACGTGCAAGCGACACGCCTGGTGAGACTCTCTCTCGCTGCGTCCGAAAGAAAGTTTTACTTGACCGTGTTTGTTAAACATTCTGCCAGGAACAGTAACACAGCTAGTGCAGTACAGTTAATGTACAGGAACAGCCGTCACGCACACGCGACGTGCAGGCTCAAGACCCCAGGACACACCGTGCCCAGGAACAAAAGTGTCCGACAGTCTTTGTGGGTAGGAACCCTTAGTGAAGCCCGTTCTTTAACATGGTAGCGGAGCTGCCTCCAGGAACCTCCTTGGCAGCGATGATGCTACTCGTAGCCATAGGAACCATGATGCTCGGCGCCATGGCAGTTTGCCTCGTTGCCGGATGGAAGCAGATGCGCGCGAATGAGCAGATCACCAAGAAGACAGAGACAGTGCTCAACATGCCCACGCTCAGGATCGCAGTCCGTTCAGGAACAAAGTACCACCGCAGAGGTTGTGGACACCTTCGCAACCACAACGTGACAGCAGGAAACGCGCGAGACTTTGACGCTTGCAGCGATTGCTACCCCGACCGAGTGTTGGTGGAAGAGAGAGAGAAAAGGAACATGAAGTGCTACGGTTTGGCAGCATGTATGGTGCTGCTGGTTGGTTTCGCACTGGGAAGCCTCGCAACTTTGTGCGGGATGATCTTGGTCCCAGGAGCAGGAAGTATAGCGGTGAGACCGTGGCAGGCCCTTGGCAACAACGTGGAGACCAAGGAAGAACTTGCCCTTGGAGACGCCTTACCCTCCAAGGATGTGAGCCGTGGGAGAAAGGAACTCACTTACGTAGAGAGTGACGAGAGCGAGCTCATGGCAGTGTGGTCGAGCAGAAGGAAGCCCAATACGCACCGGAACCGCTACAGGAACTACGACGTGTACGGCGAGTACTACCAGCAAGGCTACAACGAGTGCAGCGTGAACCCCGACGGCACCAACGTGAACACGATCAGGAACACGAACGCGTACACGATTAAGGACTATGTGGAGATAGGAAAAGTCATGGTACCGTACGCTTTGTTGTGCGCGAACCAAGTGATGAACGAGCTCTACAGCGTCGTTAGCGTGACCGGCGAGTACTACACGGAAGAGAACAGGAACGGCGACCAGAACACCGAGAACCAGGAGAGTGAGAGCCTTGAGTCAGGCTACGCCCCTAGGTACCTAGTAAAACAACAGCGAGAAGTACTGAGGAAAGTTGTACAGGAACATGTTCACAGTTTCGTAGAAAAGCTAGCAACCGTAGGAAAGAAGTTTCACGACGTCGTGCATGTGATAGTTCAGGAAGTCATTTCCAACAGAGTTGTATTTCAAGGAATTCGCATAGCAGTGTTCTTAGGAACCCCAATGGGACTGATTACTTGGATCACCCTGTCGTACTATTCTAGTGTGTTTTTCGCAAGAGCAAGCAACCGCTCAAAGCACAAAAGGAAGACAAGAGGAGAAAGGAGAGCACAAGCAGTGTGCAGGAAACAGTGCAAGTCGCTACTTTTAGCAGCACTAGTGTACAGCAACCTTGAAACAGCAAAAGGAATGTAGGATGCATTGAAGGCACTTGCCGAGATCAATGCACAGACTTTGCAAGGAATACAAACACTAGCAGAGGAGATCAGGAACTCAGCAGCTTCAGGAAGTCAGAGAGAAGCAGGACTTACACAAGCATTCCAGGAAACCCTGACAGCAGTTCAGGAACAGCAGAAGACAGCGCAAACAGCGTTGGCAGACGCCCACACAAACGCAGCAACGACACTTGAGGAGATAGGAGCATCCCTGGAGAAAGCAGTAAAGGAACAAAGAAAGCCTGGAGAAGTGGAGTTGCACAAGCTGATTAAAAGCCCCGAAGCATTTTCCCCAGGAACATGG